GAGCAGATCTTAGTGGACCCCTGAAACGACAAGGCCGTTTTTTCACCCGTTTCCGTCGCCGTTATTCTGCCCGTTTTGTTTCTGGTTCCAGCTCCAGTTCCAATCCCCGAGCCGCATTTTTGCCGTTTCTGGTCGCCGTGTTCTTGCTGTTTCCATTCTCAAGACAGATTGTGTGAAAACGGTGGAAAAACGGCCCTGCCGCTTCCGGGGCCCACTAAGGAGCATATGTGTCCGCAAAAGGTCGGCGGAAACAGCGGCGGCAAAGTGAGGCAGAACTCGACTTCAGAGGGGCCAGACAAGCAACGACACGTATGGCAGGAAACTCCAACCTGCTTGCGAAATTTCCCCAAATACGGCGGATCCGAAGTCACGGAAAGGAACAGCGGTACCAATACCGCTACGTACTCCCTGGGCCTCTCCTGGGATGAGTTATGCACAGAATTCCAAGGCAATCCAGCACATCCAGAATTTCTGGGCCTCCTGCGAGGTCTTAAGACCTCGCAGGAGGCCCAGAAAAGCGAAAACAAGGGATCAGCACAACAGGGGATATGTCGACCCCTATCCCGGGTCTCGTGGGGTTTTCGAATGGACCAGACATTTGGGGACCAACCTTACGATATACGATGGGGGGGCGCCCGTCCTCGATAGGGGTACGTCCGGGGTGTACCCCAGAGCTCCCTTCTGTTATGAGCGGCCAAGCTTTTCGGGCGGAACTCGTGGATTGGGGGAGCAAATCGATTGCGATTTGGACTCCCGAAAAGGGGGCGGGATGAATGGGCACAGTGCCCAGCAACAAAGGTTGCCCCAGACCAACAGCGGCCGCTGTCGGGCAGACGGAGTTCTGTCTTCAATGGGCACATGCCGCGGCAACAACGACTGCGAGTGCTGCTCAAAATGATCAGGAACTGCTATCGGTCCGTGTGCCCATTAGTTCGAGGCCTCCTAGATGGGTCCGAGCAGATGGGGTTGGAGGGAGCACCGTATCGCCCATGCATCGGCGATTCAACGTCGACATCGGCGATACATCGGCGACGTCGACGTGAAGCAAATCGGGCTCCACATCGAGCCGCATCGGCGATACATCGGCGATGCATCGGCGACGCATCGGCGATGAGGCGCGATCCTCCGACCCCATCTACTCCGACCCCAGCTGGGAGGCCTACGTAGACCATTTCGATTGTCCCACTGCGACGGCATCCTTGTTTGGGGAAACCAAAAAGTACGGCTACCGCTGCTCCACGAACCACTCCCTGGGAGCGTTCTGACAAGGATTTCGAAGCGAATCTAGCGGTGGCGACGAGGGCCTCCCAGGAGGCCCAAAAAGGGGAAAGCGGGCGGGGGGTAGAGGCACGGGTACCTTTTCCTCCTCCGAGGTGCCCGCCTACTCACTCCGACCCCATCCAGGAGGCCCACAGACCGTTTCGAGCGTTCCGATGCGCCGGTACCCTTTTGACTCCTCTGAGGGGGTGCCGGCGTCCCCCGATGATGCTGGAGTTCCACGTCGGGTCCGCCTCGCTGCCGCTGCTGCTGCCGTCCGCCGGCCGCGTGCCGAGCGGCAACACGCCAAGGGCGCGCGGAGGGAGGGCCCCCTGCCGGGCCGCCCGGCAGGGCACTGAGCTCGGCCTGCCGTGGGGCCTTTTTTTGGGGGGCCGCCTGGGGGCCGCCACGGCGTCTCGGGCGGATCGCTCGGCGATTCGGGGCCCTCTTGGACCGTCTCGGGGGCCTCTTGTGGCACTCTCGGCCTGTCCTGGTGCTGTCTTGGGTCCCAGGACCCCCCGGGGGGGAGTCGACGGGAAGGGGACCCTACCATGCTGGAACAGGTCGACGAGGAAGAGGAGAGGAGGACGGGGAGGAGAGGAAAAGAGAAAGAGAGAGATTTGTAACGCTCGAGCGAGCGCTGTGCTTTCTCACGACTCGATGTTTTGTGGCGACGCGAGTGTGCCTGTGGGACGGAGCGTGCCGCAGGCAGTCCCGTGCCACGCTGGCACGGCGCAACCTGGGGGAGCAAACAGACACTGGCACCGCTACTCGCCGGGCCTCTCCCAAAGTGCGTTCTGGCCTGGATCTCGAAGCGCATCCGGCCGTGGTGACGAGGACTCTCTAGGACCAGCAGCGGTATCGGTTAGGGGGCAACTTCTGGAAGGACTTCTGCGGGTAAGCCCGTTTAAAGGGCAACCCAGCCGGAATAGCCCAGATGAAGTGCGGGATAGAGCCGAAGTGCGCGGGATTCAGCCAGATGAAGCCAAAGTGTAAGTGGGGCTATGCAGGATCAGGCCAGTTTTTGGCCGCGAATGTGACAGCACCGAGGTGAATCTCCCAGGACTTGCGTTCTGGCATCGGGATCTCCTGAAATCCGACGTTGCGAAAACATTGCAACATCGCCAAACAATGACCACCGGAGCCCCATCTTCCCATCTTCCTGCGCCATTATTCGGGCCGCGTCGATGTCTCTGAGGGCCTCTGGGCCCCAAAACTCGGGGCAGACGCCCGTTGCGAACAAACTTGCGACGACAGGATCTCAGGCTTGAGCAGGGACCGACCGTCCCGGCATTCCTATAGTCCTACCACGAAATGTTCTTATAACCCAAAAATGTATGAAGAGCAAAATCAATGTTCTTAGAGCATAAATCCGATGTGATAAATCAAGGCAGACTCCGCCAGAAATGCTCTAAGAACAGCTTGTGGAAACCACCAAAGGTTCTTAGGACATTGTTTGGTAGGGCTATATGCGAGGCAGGGCGCTTCGCCGCTGCTTGACAATGGTAGTGGTACCCTGGTACCCGTGCGCTGCAACTCTTCGCAGCGGACGCTTCGGCCCGGCTTCGGGGCCCCGGGGGACCCTCACAGATCGATCTGGCGCGAGAGAGGACGCGGAAAGATGGGGTGTGGGGCTCCGGTCGTGCTTCTTCACACGATGTTGCAATTTTGTTCGCAACGACAGATTTCGGGGGCGGCCAAGAGGGGAGCGTCCAAGGATCTCAGTTGGGCGCCCGAGTTATCCAGGGTAACTCGGGTCCAGGGTAACTCGGGTTTGGATTCCCGAAAAAGGAACCCGAGTTAGCCCTGACCCGAGTTACCCCTGATGATGGGCTCTGACTCAGGCTCTTTACCTCCTCGGAGCGGCGGGGCGTGCCAGGCGGCCGCATACGACACGCTGTGCGCCAGCGGCTCCCCGCGCGCCTCCCGCGGCGGCGCGCCCCGGCGGCGCGCCGCCGCGCGGCTCGCGGGGGGCGCGCGCCGCCGCCGCCGCCGCGGCGGGCCGCCTGCGGGGGCGGCGGTCGGTCGGCGTCGCGAGCACGAGGGGGAGCCGAACCCAGACCTCCTCGCGCGGTGCAGAAGTCACGACGGGAGGTGTTTCGCTGCCTTCGGCCTCCAGGGGGCCCTTCCCGGGCCTCGGGGCCGCGAGAGAACGACTCAGGAGGAAAAACACGTCCCAGGGAAGGGGTCCAGGCTCCTGGGGGTCACGCCATGAGAAAATCATGACGTCGGGGGTCTGGGAAGAGTTCTAAGGCTGTGATGTTGAGGAGCTCTTTTCCGCCTGGCTCTGAGACTCTTGTCTAGTGGCTCCTAAGTTCGAGCCTCGGCGGCTACGGTTCGCTCATCAAGTGCACGAGAAAGCCACATGCACGCATGCACGCCTGCAAAGTAACTGCAGTCACGCGATGCAGCAGCAACGATGCTCGGTTCAACTGCGACAATCACAAAAAAAACTCCAGCCACCCCCTCCCACCTCCACGCCATCGTCCTCTCCCGGACGTGCCTCTAGATCCCTAAAAACGACACAATGTTGTTGAGGCCTTGCGAATTGTACTCGATGTCGGCCTTCGGGGGACGTTTCCGAGCTCGGGGAAGCGGTCGGCCCCACTGGGCCCACGGGTTAAAGACATGCATCAGGACCGGCGGACGTCTGGGCTCGCGCCGCGCAGGAATGCGACAGGCTGTCCTTCCCCTGGCCGGGCCCGGGGACCATCCCAAAACAGCTCGCGGTGAAAGAGCTGCCCTGGGGAAAGAGTCGGGACTTCTGGGGACCCCGGACTGGCAAAACCAAAGCATCGCACGCCATGGGCCTCTCCTCTCGCCGCATTGCCGACAGAACGAAGGCTGGAGCACTCTTTGCCGCTCCCCGCGCGAGGGCCCCCGGAGGCCACAGACGGCCACAAGCCGCGCGCTCCAATGTTTGTTCGGAACGTCGGCTCTCTGGGTCGTCGCCCGCCGCAGAGGGTCGCCGTGGCCCCATGGTGATGAGCGCGTTTTCCACCACCACCACCACCAGAAGCTGGAGGGGGGAAGGAGGAGGAGGAGGAGGAGGGCGAGGAGGAGGAGGAGGAGGACGAGGAGGAGGAGGAGGAGGAGGAGGAGGAGGCGAAGGAGGACCCCCCCCCTGCGACTTGTGGTGGTGGTGGTGGTGGTGGAGAACACGCCCATCACCATGGGGGGCCGCGCTTGCCGTGCGCCGTGTCGACCCTGGGACGGCGGTCTTCGTGGCCTCGATGCCTCGGTGCCTCTCATCCCGCCCTCGGAACCCAGCAGCATCCGTCGGGGCCCATGGGGTTCCTGGGGGGTAATGGGCAACGCAGAGGGGGTTCGAACCCCCCCCCCTTTCCAGCGCCAAGGGGGGGAGGGGGGGGGTAGAAAATCTACCCCCCCCTTTGAAGGGGGGGAGGGGGGTGGGGGGTTCGGACCCCCCCCCTTTTCAACTACAGGGTGGTCCAGTGGCGCGCTTTCCCAATATGGGGGTGCGGCCGCAATTTGAAGTTCTTATTCTTCCCGGCGCCAACGGCGGAGTTTGGAGGGATGGAGGGTGGGAGCTTGATGTGCACGAGACTCCTGGGGACAGCTCAAATCAAGTGCGAACGAACCCGGTCGATGTGCGCGAGCGCCAACTTCTGGTCTTGGAGGCGGCCAGAGGGCCTGAGCTGGTTGCGGCTCCAGGGAATCGGCCAAGACGGGATCGACAAGGGATGCGTCGACCCCCGAGTATCCCAAGCTTCGTGGGGCTTCCGCACGGGCCTGAAACCTGGGGCCCAACCCTGGGATATACGGGGGGGGCGCCCATCCTTGCTAGCCATGCGTTCGAGCAGCTTCCTTGGGGTGCATCCCAGGACTTCCTCTTTTCTGAGGCCAGGCTTTCCGGGCGGAACCCAAGGACTGGGGAGAAACATCGCCGGCGAGAACTGGGTTGGACCCAAGAAAATCGACCAAAAGGGGGGATGAAGCCAAATCCCAGGCTTGTCGGAGCGTCGGATCTTGAGCCCCGAGGGAGCCCGAGGACACCCCGCTCAGTGCCCGGGAAACGGTGGCGGAGGCCTCTTGCCCAGAGGGCGCCCTCGCCCCCAACGCGCGCGCAGTTCCCTCGGGGATGGACAGAGCCCTCTTTGGCAAAGCATGGCTTAGTCAAAACGACCTCGGGCCCAGACCTGGCGGGCGCAAGCCTGGAGAATGACGACCGCCGCAACCTCTCGAGAACCGAAAACTATCAATTCACTAATTGTTTTTCCCCCCTCCAATCGACGATGACTCAATGATCTCTCAGACTGCAAACAGCCATAGCAATGCTGCCCCGATGCATGCATCGGAGGAGCACCTGGCCAGCTATAAAAACGTCATAAAGGAGGAGAAGGAGGAGAGGACGAGGAGGAAGAAGGGAGGGGGCGAGGACAGCAGCGAGGTGAGGGAGACTGATACAGGCGGTGTGTGGACAATTCACTAATCGATGTGTCAAGGTGGGGGCTCTGTCCGCCCCCGAACGACCACTTCGGGTAGTGTAATGGGCGCGCGTGACTTTAAGGATGAGCCTTTTTTGGGGGGAGTGGAATCGGGGGGGATCCTGCAGAAGAAAGAGCAGGAGTTGGGGAGGATTTGGGAACTCGGTGGGATTCCACGAGGGAGCAAAGCAGGAGTTGGGGAGGATCTGGGAAATGGGGACCACCAACGAGAAGGAGCAAGGCAGGAGTTGGGGGAGGATCTGGGCAGTGGGATCCTCGACGTGTCAGGGCGGGGGTTCTGTCCACCCCTCCGATCCCCCCCCCGCCCTGCGTGCCGCTCCAAGGGGCGCCGCTCCTCCCCTGGGGGATCTCCCCAGGGGATCTCGACCCCAACGGCGCGCGCTTCGTTGCCGCGTCTGCCTTCGTTTTGATGCCGTCTTCGACGTCTGCTCTCATTTCGACTTCGTGTTCGGCTTGCTCTGGTTTTGATGTCGTCTTGATTTCGGTTTCGACGTTGGTCTTCGTTTTGATTTCGTTTTCGACCATTGTGTTCGTGCTGACTGCGTTGTCGCTGTGTTTTCGCGGTGCCTTCCGTCCGGCTTTTGTTGCTGCATTGCGAAATCGGAGCGACCCAAAACGGCCCGCGAGATCGCCAGAACATCGTTGAGGTCGACCCCTGATCCTTCTGTCCCGGTGAGGAAATAAAAAGGTAGAATCCCTTCGTGTTCGACCCCGTGTTCGTCCCCCACCTCCCTCCAGAATCTGGGGGGAGTGAAGGGTTCCACTGTTTTGTTCATCTACGGTCGCTCCCTCCCCAGATAT